ACAGGTTACAGGGGTAGGTGGATGAGAATAGGATGGGATTCAATACTGACAAGTGCAGGGCACTGCGCCTAGGGAGGAAGAACCAGCAGCATACCTACAGGCTGGGGAACTCCCTTCTTGTCAGCACAGAGGCAGAAAAGGATCTTGGAGTCATTATTGATGCCAAAATGGATATGGGCTGCCAATGTGAGGACGCAGTCAGTAAGGTTAACCGCACCTTGTCATGCATCCACAGATGCATCACAAGCAGGTCCAAGGAGGTGATCCTCCCCCTCTATGCGACATTGGTCAGGCTGCAGTTGGAATACTGTGTCAAGTTCTGGGCACCGCACCTCAAGAAGTATGCGGACAGCATTGAGAGGGTCCAAAGGAGGGTCACTCAAATGGTCAGGGGGAAGTGGGGCAGGCCCTACGAAGAGAAGCTACAGGATCTGAACCTGTTCAGCCTCCACAAGAGAAGGCTGAGAGGGGATCTGGTGGTCATCTATGAACTTACCAGGGGGGATCTGCGGGGAACGGGAGAGTCCCTGTTCCCCCAAGCACTACCAGGAGTAACTAGGAATAGCAGCCACAAGTTGATTGAGAGTAGGTTCAGGCTAGATATCAGGAAGCACTACTTCACAGTCAGGGCAGCTAGGATTTAGAACCAACTTCCAAGGGAAGTGGTGCTTGCTCCTACCCTGGGGGTCTTCAAAAGGAGGCTGGATAATCACCTAGCCAGGGTCATTTGACCCCAGCATTCTTTCCTGCCCATGACAGGGGGTCGGACTAGATGATCTGCTCAGGTCCCTTCCGACCCTACCAACTATGAAACTATGAAAACCCCCCAGTGGGGGCTTTCTCCCCTGCCCCACTGCACCAGGCAGGCCCTGACTGAGGGGTCCAGTGCCAGGCTGGGCTGTTGAGTTCCCCCCTACCCCACCTCGCCTCTTGGAGGTGGAGGGCTGGGGAGGCAGTGGGGCTGAGCTAATGCCATCCCTGCTGACCTGGCTATTGCGAAGGTGAGAAGATGCTGGCAGGGAGCAAAGGCTTTAGTGTGATAGCACTGTGAAAGCTAGGGGGGGGGCAGGCCTGCTCTGCTGGAGCCGACAGCACAGCCCGGGGATGCAAAGCATTCTGGGATGCTGGGGGACTATGAGCTAACTTGAACTGGGAGAGGATCTGGGACAGAAATTCCATAAACCAGTTCGACCTAAATCAGTTAAGTCTGATCCTACACCTAACCAGGCTTATCTTAAATCTCTGTTACGGGTTTAAACTAGTTTCAAGCCACTTAAACCAGTTTATGTGTAACTTCTGCCCCTAGCCCCTGCCCCTAGTCAATGTCAAACTGGGGTGTAAAATCACAAGTGTTTTCTTACAAGACAGTACTTAGGGACGGAACACCTGACCCACAAAATAATACAACAAATGAAGATGATCAGTAAACTAATAGAGGTGGGGAATAGATGTAACTTTAACTTGTTTTGGAAGTGGAAGGGAACTTAGCCCTTGGTGATGCACAATAGTTCAATCCATGTTACTATGTCAATACTATACCCATATACAGGAGCTAACTTTCAAAAGTAAAGAAACAAGTTTAAAGATACAGTGGTTTAGCTTACACTAAGTGGAATAGAGTAAACAGACGAAACCGTTAAAGCCATCAAATAATGTAAGTTTAAAGCATGGAAAGCCTTTCCTTTGCATCAACTGCTCCATAGTAACTGCCTATGCGAGTTCTGTAAATGGAAGATTAACTGCAGTAGCTTGTGCCTCCATGAAAAAGGGGTAAATTATTTGGTTTGGTTTCTACTTGTTGCTGTTGTTGTATTTTTCTCATGATCTAACACTTCAAAGCTATAAAGTTGATTTCCTCCAAAGATCTTTTTTTTCCTAACCCAATAATGACTGGAATTAACAGCAAAAAGTAATAGTCTAGAACACAGTGTCTCCTTGAAAAAAAGAAAATAATAATGTGTATTTTACAAAAGAAACATGAATACCATTTAGGAGGCCTGGAATTGTTTTCTTTGTGTACATTACTAGCTTTAAACCTGCAAGCCCATTTTGCCCAGAGGAATCCTAATAGCACATACGGTTCACAAATATCTGCTCTTCATGAGACAAGATGCTCGTCAGGTGGGCTCCTTGGAGACGACACTCTCTTTCAGCTGCATCCCATGTACGACGATGGGCAAAGTATTTGTAGCACTGCCCTTGGAACTTATGCCAGCCATAGTCACAAGTCTCTGTGTCTATGGCAAATGAACAAAACACACCTTTTAAAACATACATGAAATGCATTTCTATGCAATGGGATTTAAAGTTACTTAAAAGTTCACAAAGACACACTGCCCCTTTAAAAATCCCCACACCAAGAATAATCAGTGATCCTCTAATCTCATTTAAGTTCCCTTCTATTCTATTTATTAAGTTTCACTATTAGCTATTTCTCATTTTCATAAGGAAAATTATGCCTTAATAACTCTGAGAGCTTTGTCTGCTAATACACATAATACAATTCCAGATTATCACATTAGACTGTACCTTGAATATCTCAAGAGGGCATTACTAACCCCTAACACTGGAAGAATTAAATAAATGCAGGTGCAGTGCATGGACATAAGACTGCTGTAGCTCTTATGACTGAAAATGGATGGGGAGAAAAATAATTGGCATTGTTCAAGTAGCAGATGTAAAGTTGGAAAGCTATCTCAGCAGAGATTAAGTCTGGCCAAAAAATACCCACCCTCCCCAACAGAATAGAGTTTAATAAACTTTAGATATCAGTTTCTAAGGACAGCTGTAAAACTGAAATATGAAGAAATGAACTACACATTGTCCATGCCTGTAGGAGGGATGATGCTGATAAGAATTCACAGTAGATAGGAGTTCATATCAGCCAAAATTTCAACGCAGCTACAGAGAAATAAGCATGAGCCTTGGAACTGTAGCAATTTTTGAGTTTGATGTCAATTATATTGTCAAGGTTAGACAGTCACAGACAGAACAGATGGCATAAAACTTCCATACTCAGTTTAGTTCTGCACTTTCACTGTACAACTCAATCACAGGGAAAATTAGTTTTATAACAAAATGGGCTTAGAAAGAATAAACCAGATGCTTGAGTTTGTCTGAACTGTTTGATACTGGCATATTTTATCTTATCCTAAGGACTATTCTGAATCACAGCATTTAGAACCCCAAAGGAGATGGCAACTCAGAATCATCAAAGCATAGCATGCTCCAACCATAACTCTTTCCTGCCACATGAACATGTCCCTGGCTTACCCTAGTATGTATGGCCTCTATAGCAGGTAGAACTCAAGGAATACAAGTACAGCCAGTGGTGCCAGCTTTTGCATACCCAAGGATTTTCCCCATGTTGTGCTGCACTACTCCTGATGCAAAGCTGAGTCTTAAAGAATTTTTTTTCCTTTGTAGCTGTATATAAATATTTATGTTTCTGAAAGGGAATGAGAATTTTTGTTTAAAAGTCAAGGGCATGATACAGCTTTAAGGAGTCCAGCTGTATGCAAGTAACTGGTGAGCTATACATTATATACCAGGATCATTTCTATATATCCTGAATGCAAAACTTTTAACTATAATATTCACGTCATAGGAGACGCCCTATGTGAATAAGACAACTGGTTCACTTAATTTAGCAGTGTGGCTTTCTGTGAGCATGTCTGTGTTGCTTCCATATCACTTCCCTGCTGTTTTCAGGTACTCCTACCCATTGGCTCACACTCTGCATACATCAAACTAGGAAATGGGTGAGCAAAGATGCCTTGGGAAGGCATCTTCTGTCGCCACTCAGGATTATTTCTGGCTTTCTTGAAAATAGGGTTCATAAAACTTCTAATTTTATAAGTTGGGCCTGCTCAGAGATGGAGCAGGTAGGCAAGAAATGCTTGAGAATGGCATGTCAGGAAGAGCTATGGAAATTGTATAGATATACAATACAGCAGCGAATAGCAGCTGCATTCCTGGATGGTGTAGAAAGCCTAAAGTGAACAGTTATGAGAAAAAATTTACTCATAGGAAATATTAATGTTAATTTACACTAGACAAGGTTCATTTTATCCTCTGAAAAACAAAGAGCTTATTTCCTTTCAGAATTCCTTTAGACCTCTGGATTGTTTGCATTTTTAAATCTCCTTTCAGAAAATGCCCATACAAATGGCCATGTTAACATTTCTCTGATAATCCCCATCACCTTTATGAGTATAGAGGGGTAGTTGTCCTAGATTTCACGTATAGACATCTTTTTCCAAAGACAAATACGTGCACACATGCACACATGTGCACACACACTCTAAAGAACACAGATGTTACCAAAATAGAATAGAATTATTTATTACTATATTCTTGTTTTCAATGTCTCATATTGTAAAAATTGTTCATGTGTTGAAGAATTTAAACTATGAAAAAAGAATGTAATCTACAATACTGCATTTTGTCCTAACCTATTTAGTCATATAAACACTCAGACAAACACAGAGAACTAAATCCACAAAAAGATTTAGGCATCTTAGAGCTGGGTTTGCAATTCCCAACATTTATACCAGTTTCTATATTGTTTCCACAGAAATCCCAATAATACTTCCATGAAACAAG